CACAGGCCCACTTCTCGAGCTTGTCCAGGTCCCTCTGGATGGCGTCCCGTCCCTCTGGCGTGTCGACCGCACCACTCAGCTTGGTGTTCATGACCACATCAGTCTTGCCAGGGCAGAGCTGGGCCAGTCCTGCGATTTCCCGAAATGACGAGAGACGCGAGATCTCGCGGGGCTCCCTCCAACACCCAGCTCGCCCAGGGTGCAGGGCGAGTCGCGCGCGTGGGCTGGCCGTGCCGCTGGGTGCCCTGCTGTCTGGGCGTACGGATCTGCCTGCAGAAGGTAACGAAACAAGGAAAATTAATGTAATGCCCAATGACGGCAGCGCACGCCCTCTCGGGCAGCTCTGGTGACGGCAGGCATTTCCTCAAGCCTAACCTGCCGTCAGTGTTGGCTCCCCCAACCCCTCCCCCCCAGCCGTGGCTCCGAGGAGCCGCGTACAGACGTGGGTCCGTATATACGTATGTATATACGTGCCGGTCATGCTGCAAGCTTGGCTTAAAGGAGCCCTTGGGGTCCGGCTCCTCCTTGGGGTTTCTGCTTCTTCTCTCAGTGTCAGCCGTGATTTTTGGGTCTACTGTGCGTTTCGGGTGGCCCTCGGCGTTTGCCCTCTGTCACCGCAGCCAGTGGGTGCCGCTTGCCGGAGCGGCGAACGCGCAGGGTCCGGTCTGCGTTCGGAGCTGCTGTAACCACCAACGGCGCCGCCACGGGCGGGAGTCGCTTCCTTATCCCTCCGGGAGGTTGCGGAGCCCCGAGAGCTTCGAAATTAATTGGGGAGCTGGAAGAATAATGCTGAAAGCCCCAAGACGTAACACCCGTGCGCCACGGCCATCGGGAACACCCTGGCCACAGCCTGGTGAATCACTGGGGTTACTGGAAAACCCGCCGGCTGGAGATTTACGGGGTGAAAAACCAAAACTGGCACCAGCCATGGCGGGAGCATCCCTGAATTCAAGCATCCCGGGTCGGAGGTTTTCCGCAGGCCGCCCCGGTTTCCACAAAACGCTGGGAAAATTCCTTAGTCCGCGCCGTTGGGTTGGGTTTTCATTTGTTGCAGCTCACTTCTGTTAGCGTAACGGCACCTGCTCCCCAGAAGTGCTGTGGGCAACAGCCTAGAAATCACCTTTTCTTTGTAATTATCAATTTCCAAAGGCTCATAAAGCTGCTGGAAATTCAAGCCAGGCTGAATTTCCCAAGAAAACGCTTCCACATGAACTGAGCTAAGCCTTCCTTCGACCTTCTCCTCCATCCACCCGCCCTTTGCTTCCCCCTCGTGCTTCCGTGTGGGTGCTGCTCAGCGCCACCCACCCCACCCCCGCAGGTCCCTGTGCCGCTGCTGCCCGCGCCGTGGTCCCAAATCTGGGAAAAAAGCAAGAAATCTCAATTTTGGACGCTGCAAATGTTGTTTCGAGGCTCCCGCGTGAGCGGGAAGGTCCGTACCGCACCTCAAAAGCAGGCGGGGATCCTGGGGTGCTCCGGCACCGCCTCACCGGAGGAGCTCTCCCTGGGGTTTGGGAAGTTGGTGAAATAAAAGAACCCTTGAAAGGGCAGGAGCGGTTTTTAGTGATTTGGCGGTGTTTGTCTCTGAAACGCGGCCTGGGCGCTGGGGGCTGTGATCCCAGGGCTGTGCCAGGGGTGATCCTGGGGGTGCCTGTGATCCTGGGGGAGATCCCCGGGGTTGTCCCGGGAGTCATCCCGAGGTGCTGGTGATCCCCAGGTGCCGGTGATCCCAGCGGTGTTGGTGTCCCATGGTGCCAGTGTCTGGGAGTGGGGGTGATCCTGGGGGTGCCCGTGATCCTGGGGGAGATCCCCGGGGTTGTCCCGGGAGTGATCCCGAGGTGCTGGTGATCCCCAGGTGCCGGTGATCCCAGCGGTGTTGGTGTCCCATGGTGCCAGTGTCTGGGAGTTGGGGTGATCCTGGGGGTGCCCGTGATCCTGGGGGAGATCCTGGGGTTGTCCTGGGAGTGATCCCGAGGTGCTGGTGATCCCCGGGTGCCGGTGATCCCAGGGGTGTTGGGGTCCCACAGTGCCAGTGTCTGGGAGTTGGGGTGATCCTGGGGGTGATCCGGGAGTGCCAGTGATCCCAGGGGAGATTCCAGGGATGTTGGTGATCCTGGGGTGATCCGGGAGTGCCGGCGATCCTGGGGGTGCCGCTGTCCTGGGCTGCGGGTGACCCTGGGGTGCTGGTGCCCCGGGGTATGGGAGATCCCGGGGGTGCTGGTGATCCCAGTTCCCCGGGGTGCTGGTATCCTGAGGGTGATCCTGGTGTGCCGTGGGTGATCCGGGGTGCTGGTGATCCCGGTGAGATCCCGGTGTGGTCCCAGTGATGCCGGGGAGATCTTGGTGATCCCGCGGCTGATCCCGGTGCGGTCCCGGGTGACTGGTGTGGCCCCGGTGATCCCGGGGAAGATCCCGGGGAAGATCCCGGGGTGATCCCGAGGAGATCCCGGCGGTGCCGCGGCCGATCCCGGTGCAGTCCCGGTGGCGCGGCGGCTGATCCCGGTGTGGCCCCGGCGAT